TCCCCAAACGAACCACCGCATGTTTGAATTCAGAGTTGTCCTTCTCCTAGATCAGTTGCCATCCAAGGTCATAGAACCCAAACTGTCCCGCTATTTAACCATAGCTGGAGAGAGAAGAAAAGGAGGAACCCAAGCCGCTAACCATTACTCCACCGTGCAACCTTTTAAATATATATATATATATATATATACTAGCAGTATAACCCGTCTTCGACCAGGTCTTTTATTATGGTAGAGAAATTTTTCATTATATATATGTTTGTTGGATCAATCAGTTATGTGCCATGCATGATACACGCTTAGACGATCATGTACCTTTCGATACATGACTGACGAGGCAGATTTTTCCCAGCAGAAGGTTGCCAATTCTTTCTACGGTAGACCAAGGCCTTAGAACCTATTTACCCGTAACTGTTTGGTTGTTAATCTTTCCATGGTGGAAATTGCCAAAGACTTAAGTTGTTAAATCTGAAAAAAAGAAAAAAAAATTATTAGACACTTAAAATTAATTCACATTTAAAATCGGTCCAAGTTATAGAACACCACACACACACACACACACACACACACACACACACACACACACACACACACATATATATATATATATATATATATATATATATATATATATTATAATTATTTTTTTTAAATATTATTTAAATAATTATAATTTAAGCTCTACTTCTGTATGGAGCACTGTTTTTTTTTTAAATAAAAAAAAAATACTAAAGAACTTATTTACCTAACGTGTTCTTTTTTCTATTTTTCTACATATCTGCACACACACACACACACACACATATATATATATATATATATATATATATATATATATATATATATATATATATGGGGTGATAAGACGAAAGTATTGAATTGATAAGATAGCAATAAATTGAAAATGTAAAGTTTTCAAGGATTTAATCCCAATTTTCAGTGTCGACATCCAGCGGTATTTGGACAGAATTATATTGTAATAGATACTTCAAGAACCGCCTCATTAAATTAAGCTCAAAGTGGCCGACCAATGCCGCCGACTGTATTTGCCTAAGATACACACGCGCGGAGAATTGGTCGTTAATTTGTAATACATTTAATGCAAATTAAACTGTATGATTAAATTTTGTACGATTCGCTTTTATATTTATGGCAGTCATAGACAAAGGGCCATAGTGGCAAATACGCGGTCTTAGATGTCGGACAACTCAATCAGTTAACCAAGAATAGAGTCAGTCAAATCTTCTTTTATATTCTGTGTCTCTCCAGGGTTAGGGGAATCATGACTCTCCGCAACTTCCTATCCTTTGTAGTTTTAAGCAATATTTCTCCTTTGACTATTCTTCTCTGTCCTTTTCTGGGCAGCAAGTTTGTTAGGTAATCTACACAATGCTTCGCTCTGTCTCTTTTGCATTCAATATGCCGTCTGCGGAACCAATTCTACAAGCCGTCTTTCCTCATTGCGTGACTGAGAAAGAAGGCAACGGGAAATCACTCCACTAATTTTTCCAAGAAGTACCTTGAAAATGCACAATTATAAAAAGGATGCTATAGAAAATAATAATCCCCTATGTCCTGCAGGGATATAGCAATTATGAATGATGCGCAATTACCTGTGTATCATATATATATATATATATATATATATATATATATATATATATATATATATAGTCAAGTATATAATTGGTGTATACCGAATGAATTCCAATAACTAAAATATTATATATATATATATATATATATATATAATTATTTATTTAAAAATTCCAACAGGCTACATAAGAGTTCTCATGTTTCAAAACAAGAGCTAAAAACTATATATATATATATATATATATATATATATATATATATATATATATATATATATATATTCTGTGACCTGGGAATTTACGAACTAAACAGAATTTTTATTTTTTACCCATGTTTTTGTTTTTTTCTTTTTTTAAATTTAGTTTTATATTTTAGGAATTAGTCGTTTGTTAAACTGACACCATAAACAGTTTGAAAAATCTTGTGAATTTTGAATTTAAAATTCGCAGGTGAAAATGATTATTCTCTAATGATATCTTAATTCCAATAGTGATGAAATATTTGCTCTGTTTAATAAAAATAAATATTGAGCGCTCATTGTGAGTCAGTTTTAAAATTTAATATTTAAAATTCTATATTATGTTAATAGGACTCACTTGGATTATACCAACGGATTACTACCTATATATATATATATATGTATATATATATATATATATACGTGTGTGTTATTTCTTACTAGTGTACCTATGCCGTCAAAAAAGACGGTTTCTTTTTCATCCTAACCTCGAATGCATGATGATTTTCTAAGCGTAGTTTAGCTGTGGCACATGGCCGAAAGTATGGGGTACAGGGTTGATAAGCCGTAAAAAACAAATCAATCACTCTTAAATAAGGGCTAATCGCAGGATGAACTACCCCCTCTAGCTTTAATTTGAAATCATTCTAAGAAAATTCCCTTCCATACTAGTTGGACGTAGAGCTGGCAAAAATAACCCGCAAATTTTCTTTGTTACTGAAACCACAGCACTAAAGTCTAGGGTGGGGGAAGCTGTGCCCCTATACTACATAAATGGGTCGACAGGACTTGCATACACTCAAAAAAATATTCACAGTTGAAAAAAAGTATCAAAATCATGGAAAATTATTTTTATATTTTCTCAGTTAATTGCTCCCTTACGGATAGGAAAGCGGCGATACATCCTTAGTTTGAAAACAAGCATCAGATTTTATCATTTGTAGATTAATTTTAACGTTTTAAGAACTATTGATTAGTAAGTGACTTGATACCATCTCAAAACGCACGTTCAATTCATCATCGGATTAATCAGGAACATGTAATTGACAGTCCTCAAGAAGGACTAAGATCATCAATCGACAGACTTTTAGTCCTGTTAAAATCTCGAATGTCACTAGAATGCATAATAAGAAGTAATTTGCACCTGTACCATTACAAAGTGCAACTGGTGCATGCAATATAATGCCCGGAGAACAACATCTGATTCAGTAACAAGATTCAGTAACGGCAAAGCTGTAACGAAGCAAGTCTTAACAGCAGAATGTTTTATCATAATTAAAGCAATTCTGTGTTCATTTTCTATAACTTATCTTCATAGAAAAATAATAAAGAATTATCAAGCAAATATTATATATCATTGGCCTTTATATCCTAAGTTGAATTTTCTGGTAACCGGGCGAGTAATGTTACGGTTAACTGTTTGGAAGGAGAAATCAGCGAGCGGAGTTCGAATTCCAGTCGGTTTGGTTACATTCACTTTCGCACAAATACACTTGGGAAAGGTATAAACCCAACATTCTTCCCCCAGCTATGGGTTAAAAATTCGAAATTAACTCCAGTACGGAGTTCTGGTTTCTATGATCTCGTATAAAAACAGGTATATTTTTGATTATTCGGACTGTTATCCTCATCTTTATTGTCATATTCACGACGTTTCAACCATTGTACGCTCCGGCTTTCTTCAGGTAATATACGTTGGAATCTCGAACTGAACCCTTTATTTCGTCCCCTGGAGTAGATTGCTCTAGTTCCACGTGCCATGCCCTTCCTGGATATCTCATTTTCAGCTATTTTCTTTTTTAGTAATTGAACTCTCCAAGTTTTGTTCACGTCTGCTGTGGCCAGGTATTGAACTCACAACTCTTTTGGGTAAAGTCACTGGATTCCTTCAACCAACGCTTTTATCCACTGGGCCACGTGTCCCTGGGTCAAAAGAAAATATATCTCTTCCTTCCGCGTTGTTATACGCACAACGTTTCGACCGTTGCGACCTTCGCTCTACTTCAGGTGCCTGTCGTGATTGAAATTTTCTCGGAATTCAATAATCATAATCCTTCATCCCAAAAATTCCAACATAAGACGTTAATTATTTTCGTAAACTGCAAGTGATATTTGAGACGCTCTGTACATCTGTCTAAATCCTTCAGTTTTAATGACACTATAGATTATAGATAATATTATTATTATTATTATTATTATTATTATTATTATTATTATTATTTCATTTGACTTTTGGTGTATACTCATTTTTCCGGGTCCTGACCAGAGAGCTAAGGTCAGAAATGTCATCATGACATTTTCCACTGAGCAGTTTTGAAGAAAAAAAATCGCACATATTTCACTCAGATAAAGCCCTTCGTAAGGTGTGGGCTGTACTTGTGAGTACAATTTTTTGTATTTCTTTGAGGCATGGGCTATCAGGGATTCCTTCAATGAGTCTATTAGAATCTTTTCCAATCGGTCCGAGGGCTCCAACTACAACTGGATTTGTTAATGTCCCCATACGCCATATTTTTGAAATTGCGATTTCAAGGTCCTTGTATTTTGATAGTTTTTTGAAGATCTTCAAAAATACATTGCAGTCTGCAGGGACCCGCCATGTCAATAAGGAGCCACATTTTATCTTTGTGGTCTCTAATCACGATGTCTGGACGATTAACTTTGATTGTGCTGTCTGTATGTAAAGTCCCATAAAATTGTTACAGATCCTAACACTGTAACCGTGTCTCGGTGGTGTTCATACCAATTGCAGTTTCCTTTATGTAAGTGTTGCAGATATTCTAGTGTAGATATTGGCCCACTCTGTCGTGCCGCGTTTTATATTCAGTGGATGCCAATACCACGCAACCTGATACAAGATTATTATTATTATTATTATTATTATTATTATTATTATTTCCAGCTAACAAGGAACGATCTTGCAACGTTGCAAATACATTGTATCCTGGCTGAGAGATATGTGACGTGGTGGCGGCCTTGCTGTAACTTGATAATGATTTTCCTGAACCTCAAACTGACTGCTCGGACCTAATCATTGTCACTTCGATATGCTGACATTATGAAGTATTGCAGCTAAAAAATTATTCACTAATCGATTACAATATCAGAATACTTTTTGTTCACTTGAACAAAAATCCTTAAGAACCTTTGTTTTGTACACACAAACACAGATACAGCTAGATAGATAGATAGATAGATAGATAGATAGATAGATAGATAGATAGATGCAAAAATTTCAGATAGATGATACCGATAAAAGGACATTATGAAAAAAAAAAGACAAAAGGAAAACTCATCTTAATCAACACGTTTCGTGCTCTATGGGACCAATATCCTTATCATTTCATCCACAATACTAAGAGAAAGACAAACAAAATATACGACCGCAAAAAGACAAAAACAAATTTAACAACAATACACTAGACAAAAACAAACACATAATACAACCTACTAACTCCATAACGCCCACTATCCAAAACAAGCGATCTCATGTAAACAACATCCAAATAATTACAATCACATTCAAAAACTATTATGGATATGATCAGAACCAAAAATACCCATAGCAATAATAAGCCGGTATATATAAAATAAATTGCTTGCACTTTTCCTTACAATACATTGGGGAACTTGCAGGAATAAAAGAAAAAACGTTTCACTACACAAAAGTGATGTTCCAACGATTTATCAAATGCATTAATTAAAGAGAGAAATGAATCCAACCACAAATTTGATGTAAAGAATGTCACACATATCAAAAGAGAAAGTAACTTACTTAGAAGGAAAATTCTCAAGAGTGCTGCTAACGAATTTTATCAAAATATAAATCTGCGTACCACATTTTTCCAATATCTCCATTCCTGAAAGAATTACTATTTCCCCAAGCCAATATACATCACTTTAAAAATGCTAAAAAAATTAAAAGGAATCGGTTAAACCCATGACCTCACGTTATTCAAAATAGATAACATATGAATTAATCCTAAACTAAATTAATTTAAATACTATTTTGCACAAAAACAATTCTAAAACATGACAAACTCATATTCGTTTATTAGACATTGAATTTGTATCACTTTGTGTCCTCATAGACTGACTAATGTTTCTGCTAACCTGATGAATATTTATAAGCATTTCTAAACGGGTCTGTTAAGATAAGTTTTTTTTTTCTGTTCATTCATATATATATATATATATATATATATATATATATATATATATGATGGACTCTCCCGTCGATTTCGATGTATGAGGAAGCGACAACGTCATTCAGTTTTTTATGTTTTTGTCGTACGTGACACTTCAGTCCCGGCAGTGACCTGCATACAAGACCACATATTGGGCAACAGTAAAGATCTCAAGAAAGAGCAACAGCAATATTTGCTGAAGTTTTTGAAAAAATCTTTCGTCTCTTAGGCGCTCAATATGACTGATTTCAAAATTATACACCCCCATATATATATATATATATATATGAATTTGTGACTCTGGGTTTCACGTTTTACGGATATATATATATATATATATATATTATATATATATATATATATATATATATATATATATATATAGACAGACAGCACATCCAAGCATATTTCATTAAATAATCTAGACATATTATGCCTGCTTACTGTTATAATAATCTTTTCTGGTCATTCAATTAGCTTCTTCATGTTAAGTTGAAATCCATCCTATTTTTTTTAACCCAATTAAGTCTAAGTGTGTTTAAATGGGTTCTGATGAAGCTGTGGTCGGGTAGGTGCAATGTAAGTCGTCTGGATAGGCATGTAGTAGTGTGACCGATGTAATTATTTATGAGTTCGTTTTGATCAGGAACACAGTTCCTTAAGTGACATTTGAACTCGTAAATAATGTTGGTCCTTTGTAGTTTTGATTTTTCAGGTGCGCTGTTATTTTTAAAGCACTCGGAATTCGAACACAAGAAAAATTAAATAAAAAGCTTAATCGCAGTACCTTCTCTGTCGTCTTTAATGAAATATATAAATATATATATATATATATATATATATATATATATATATATATATATATATATATATATATATATATATATAATAAGCAGAAATATTTTCCTCCTGATGATGGCCATTTGGGTCGAAACTAGTTGAGGAATCTAAATGGAATAATAATAATAATAATAATAATAAAACGAAAGAATATTAATCTACAACCCAGTGTGTCTAAAGATTTTAATTTTTTAATTTTTTTATTGTTCAGTATATATATATATATATATGCACGCGCACACACACATATAAATATATTAAATATATATATATATATATATATATATATATGGAGAGATGACGAGATTCATTAGAATATCAAACCAAATGGTGAAATGGGCCTAGAGAAAGTGGTAAACGATACGAACTGTACAAATCGAAACGAAAACGTGTGTTTTTCTACTTGTGTGTTTTTGTGTGCGTTTGTGTCAGTGTGTCTGGCGGGGTGCATGTGTGACGGCAAGCAGGTGAACAAGATGGGTGAAGAAAGAGTGATAGGGGGTCAGATGTCACGGCGTCTCCGATGTCGAGGGAAGCTAGGATGACAAAATGGCCGCTGCAGGTGCCCGTCCTGTCACTTGCGCTCGTCTCGGCGCCTCCCTCTCGTGTCATTCGAGGCCGACGTAAAAGGCGGGAAAACGAGAAACATTCAATTACGTCGACACCGCTGCACCCAAGATTGATGACTGAGGGATCCAGCGGGTCGGCGAAACGTGGAAAGGTGCGAAAAGTGGGCAAAGAGATGGGAGACGGCGAAAGGCGATATGGTCGGAAGAGAAGTAAGGTGGGGATTGCCGCCCATGACGGTGATAAGCGGCAAAAGAGAAGGAAGACATGCTATAGAACAACAGACAGCCAGGGAATAGCGTAGTGCCCAACTCCACGACGAATCTATAAGTATTTCATTAGTTTTCTAATCATTATTTCAACAAACAAATATCTCCCCCATCATATAACATTGTTATTTCCTAAGCTCTGCTTTGTATGACACAAGGCCACAAGTAGCGGAGCGTTATGACGATTGAACACACTAATCGAATGCTTTGGTCAACCAGACCAGCTTGTTGAGGTTCCCGACTCGTATCGCGTTGATTATTCGCAATTAATTAGTCTTAATTATTAATAGAATAATTATATCTTAACAATTTCGCTGCAGTCAACGTATTTATACGTCTTAACGAAAATGAAATTTGTTACTATCGATGTATATACAGGTTTACAATTTAAAATATCAATCTCCAGCGTTTGTGTTTATGCACTAACTAGCCCTTAGTGCCTGTCTATATTTATGAGATGAGGTATTATGTACACTATTTACATTATTCGAACTATTGTCCTCATTTTTTGTCGCCATATTTATTACAACGTTTCGGACGTTGTGCCTTCGGGCTTCTTCAGGTGGTTGAATGTCGAACTGATTTCACTCACTGGGGTAGACTGTTCTGGTTCACGTGCCATGTCTAATGGATGTCGGTTATCAGTTATCTCCTGATAATTCCCTGCTCCAAGTTCTCTACTGCCTTAACCGGATATTGAACTCACACTCATTGAAGACACATGGCACAGTGGATAAAGGCGTTAGTTAGATGCAGTGACAGGAGCCAAAGAGTGTGAGTTCAATACCCGGTTAAGGCAGTGGAGAACTTTCAGAGGGAAAAATTAACAGGAGATAACTGATAACTGACACCCATTAAAACATGGCACGTGGAACTAGAACAGTCTACCCCAGTGAGCGAAATAAAAGGTTCAGTTCGACATTCCAACCACCCGAAGAAGGCCGGAGCGTACAACGGCCGAAACGTTGTAATAAATATGGCGACAAAGATGGGGGCAATAGTGCGAATAATGTAAATAATGTACATAATACCTCATCTCAGAAATATAGACAGAAATTAAATCAAATCAAATATTCAACAGCTCCACAAAAAGCCGTTTCTACTTTTTAAATGATTTTCCAAAGCACTTTGCATAATAGAATAGTAAAGTTAGAAATGGCTTATTTCGAGAGAGAGCTGCCAGAGTATCGAATTTCAGTTCGGCATCAGAAGTCTCAATTTTATGAAGTACCAAATGTGTTAAATTCATGCTCGAGATATGTAAAATTAAGCAAATTTCAATTTGGCGTTATTTTTTAACCTTTTGTTCACTTAGGTTAAATTTTCCGGATTTCATCAAGATCTAAGATGTCGCCCATGAAACCAGTAAGCGACTTGATACGAAAGTACATTCTTACGAATTTATACGAAAAAAAAAAGGGTTAAAACACACTGAAAACTTTCGAAATGACCTCAAAGTAATTGTCTTTAAAAGACAATTGCTTTGTAGGTTTCAGAAACTTCTGTTTCTTAACAGGACAGAAGTAGTGGAACAATTGGTGAGGACTAAATTCAGTATCATTGTATTAGTGTAATCAATAGATCATGTTGATTAAAATGTTTTATTTGCTTCACTGTCAGTTGTGAGTTCAATCCATAAGCCTGGTACTGCTGTAAGACCACATACACTGAAAGAAACAGACAAGTAACACAACGTTAAATAATACTAGTGTGCCTGAACTGTTAGGAAACATCTCCTAAGAATGGAAAGCTGATTAAGGACAACTATCCATGTGAATTGAATAAAGAGTTCGATTCAACCCTCCGAGAAGATTAAAGGTCACCCAGTACAAGGCTCAATGGGGTTACTTAAGGAAGTGTATGATATGAGCGTAGGATATTAAAATGATGAGTATATTGACCCTTTATTTGAAGAAGTTAAGATTGTAATGTTCTAGAAAGCATCTTCATGCTAGTTTGTTCCACAAGGTAGCAGATCTTGGGAAAAGGCTGTCTGAGTGGAACTTCCTCCTTACAAATGCAATACGCGGGAAATGTTGGTTATAAGAAGCTGTGAGTGTCGTGTGGCGAGTCCTAACTATAAAAGTTTGAACTGGTGTAATTAAAAAATGGAGCTGATCTGAACATTTGTCATGCGAATAGCATCAGAATAACAATAGGATTGCAATGCATCTGTGTAGAAAGAGGCTGCAGAATGGAAAATAATTCATCATCTATTTTGAACTCAAGGCTGGAAAGTGCGTATTGAGTAGCACTGATCCAGACATGGCATTTCATTTTTCGTCTAATCTGGTTCTTGTAAAGGTAACATGTGACAGGAGTCGGGTACTTCCTGGAGTGGTAGAATGAGCCGATCATTTTTCTCCGGCACCTTTAGCAATGGACCGTATCTATGAGTTCCAATTTAGGTCTGGATTGAACGTGAATCCAAGTCTAAAGAAAGCCGGAGAGTAGAACGGTCGAAATGTGAGTATAATGGAAATAAGAATGAATAGATTAGTTTAATAACCAATACTCCTTGAGGATCTGCCTAATTTATACAATTCATTAGCAGCTATACAATCTGAATTTCATAAAATCATCAAAAGATATCTTATCGACACGCCCTTAAAGAGAAATATTAACCAGTTAAACCAAACGCACAATGCCAGCCATTCAAATTACAGCTGATAGTTATACGCCTACTAAGTAACCTAACGTCTATAATCAACAACACGCTTACAATCCTCTCTCACAAAGAATATAAAAAGAAAAAAAAATCCTCATATAATCGGTTTTTTTGTTGTTTGTTTTGTTTTTTTGTTTTTTTTTTGTTTTTTGTTTTGTTTCAATTAATATGATGGGATTAATTAAAATGGCCGATTTATAATTACCGTGATCAGGGGATTTTTGTCGGTTGCTTTTGGCCCGAAAAACCTTTCGGCTTATTGAGATGACGTCTCTTTGACTCGGCCCAGTAAGGGAGATTTTCGGGTAGAACGATGCCTTGTAATTCTACTGATAAGATCGCGTCGTTGACGCTATCACAGCTTCAAATGTCACGTTTCGTGTCAACCGTCCACACGACCAATATTGAAAGGCTTATTTACTCTTCCGAACCAACCAGGCATTGTTTCTTGGGGTCTTTTTTTTCTCTCTCTCTCTCTCTCTGCTTCCATGCATTTGACTTTTATTGCACCTTTTTGTTTTAACACTAAGCCTCGATTTTTTTCTTACATAGTTTTCTCCGCTTCAAAGATTCACCAATTTTAGATCAATATGGCCTCTCTTTCACCCGACCATTCTCTATCCTTCTCTCGACATTTTTTTATTCGTCTTTTTTTTTTTTTTAATTTTCTGTTTAATTAACGTTTTACTTTCTCTGGCTTTTCTGTTTTTACTTCCTTTCTTTTGATTTCTTTCTTTCTTTCTTTTCCATTTCTTCTTTTTCCTCTTCTTCTTTTTTATTTCTTTTTTTTCTTTCATTAAATTTTCTTTTCTCTTTAAAACTTTTTCTTTTCCTATCCTTTGTCTTTCTTTTTATTCTTTCTTTTTATTCTTTCTTTTTATTCTTTCTTTTTATTCTTTTAATATTTATTTTTCTTTCTGTCCTATTTTCTTGCTATTTTCTGTGTTTAAAATTTAAACTTTTTAGCATTCTTGCTTTTTTTGTTTTTTCTTTTCATACTTTTTTTATTATTTATTTTTATTTCTTATTTTTTATTTCCTTTCCTTCATTTTATCTTTCATTCTTTCTTTTTCATTCATTCATTATTTTCTTCTTTCTTTTTATCGTTCTTTTTCTTTCTATTTTATTTCGAATCACTTGTTTCTTGTCTTCATTCACACCATTCAGTTTCTTTCTTTTCTTTCTCTTTCAATTTTCATTTTTTTTTCTTTCCTTCTTTAAAGTATTTTACTCATTCATTTTCATTCTGTTCTTTCATTTTCATTCCTAACATATTTTTTTCTGCCTGTGTTTCAATCAAAAACACCGGTTCTCGTTCGATCACTGAAGTTACGCATCGTCGATGGAGGTCAGTCTTTAGATGGAGGTGTAAGCGACCTCCAACAATCCGAAATATGGTTTTGGATTTAAATAATCGACAAAGGGTTTATATCCCGTAAATACACAAATCAGTTTCGCTGTTCTTGATTCCCTTTCCTTTTTTTCCATCTCGACTCTTTCTTTCATTTTGAATTCTTCTCTCTTCCTTTCGCTGCCTTTTCTGTTTTTCCTCCTTCTCGCTTTTATATTTTCTCTCTTTTTCTTTAACTCTTTTTATCTTTCCTTTCTTTATTCTTTCTCTTTTTCTCTCATTTGCCTGTCTTTTCTCGCTCCGATTTGCAGTATGTTCTTCTTATGTTAACAGCTATTTACTGTCTGTTTTTTTGTCTATCGTCCCATCTATCTATCTATATTCTATCTATCATCTATCTATCTATCTTCTCTTTCCCACATCTATCTATTCCAGTCTGTTCGTATATTATCTATTTTTCATCTATCTATCTATCTATCTATCTATCATCTATCTATCTATTATCTATATCTCAGTCTGTTCGTATCTATCTTTTCATCTATCTATCTATCTATCTATCTATCATCTATCTATCTATCTATCTATCTCTTTCTGCTTTTCTATCTATTCCAGTCTGTTCGTATCTATCTATCTCTTTTTCATCTATCTATCTATCTAATATCTATCTATCTATCTATCTATCTATCCATCTATCATCTATCTAATTATTATCCATCTAAAATCTTATTAAAATCTATGACAAAATGAAAAAAAAAAAAGGTTGTCGCGTGAGACGTTTCGTTCTTCAGGATTTCATCGGATTAAATTTTGAGGGAGGCACAGTGTATTAATGAATAGCGGCTCGGACTGAGGAATCGGAGAGCCGAGTTCGAATTCCAGTCGAATCCATTACGTTCACTTACGTACTAATACCCTTGCTATTGGTAAATAGCAAAACAGAGCCTTGTAAGGCAACTGGCCTACCGCAGAAAGAAATGGCAACCTACTGATTGAAAAAAATCTGCCTCGTCAAAGATACATGACTGCCTAAGCGTATATCACGCATGGCACATAACTGTCTGAAATTTTGTTATGTTGGTAGGAATACACGTGCGCACGACAGAGGGGTGCTGGTAATTTAAAAAAAAAATATCTAGCCAAATTCATTTGGAGACTTTTTCTTTTTCTTTCTATCACTTTTGTAAGTAGGTATTCCATACTGTGATATTAGAAGATCTACCAGGAATGATGAAACGTTGTAAGAGCCCGGACTTGAAACAAAAACACTAGAAAGAAAGGGAAGTGGCGAAATAGTATATAAATAAACGGACATAAATATGGAAAAGTTTGTTCATTTAAAAAAAAAAAAAGAAAAAAGATAGCTGAAACAAAAAATGAAAATATGAATAGGGATTTAAGCCTAAAATAATCGGAGATTACGATGTCACATATCGTGGGAAGTGAGATTATCTACGAATCAACAACCTACGCGGCGTATACACTAACACATTTAACACATAAGCCGAAAGCGCTCGGCACAGTCATCTGGACAATTTCCCTATAATCTTTGTACCCCAAAAAAACCCTGTTCGCACATAAGAAAAATTCAATAAAAAAAATAACAGAAGTAGCTTGTCTGTAATTTTAAATGAATGTGTGTCATATATATATATATATATATATATATATATATATATATATATATGTGTGTGTGTGTGTGTGTGTGTGTGTGTGTGTGTGTGTGTGTGTGTGTATCCAAATGCAAAGAGAACGAAACGAATATAAATTCAAACTTTCATAAGTTAAAGCTAATTATCTTTCATCACCACCTGATGAGATGTCTGTATTAGGCATCGAAATAACTATGCATTTTGTAGTGGTAACTTAAATTTTCGAGTGTAATTATATATATATATATATATATATATATATATACTTATAGAAATTACATTTTAGATAATATATATATATATATTTGTATTTGTGTGTAAGAATTAATGGATTTATTTTTTAATCCGACAATTTTTACAACTTCAAACGTTATTATACTATGTTTATTTTTAATTCATGCGGTATATATAACGTTTATTAGCCTGCCCACACGGGAAATCTTATATTTTCTTTACTTTATATATATATATAATAAAAGGCTTAAACACTAATATTCCATGGTCATAATTTATTCCATTAGAATCGTAAATACGATCCAATTCATTTGAATTTGTAGGTCTGATGAATTGATCGTATTTACAATTCCATTGGAATATATTATGACCATAGAATATTAGTGTTTAAGCCTTTTTATTATATCCTTACTCTGTCCTGGACATTGAGTTCTAGTTGGATTTATTCAAAATGTATATGTATGTATATATTATTCATATCTATTCATCTATATATATATATATATATATATATATATATATATATATATATATATATATTCTCGGTAGTGGATGCGCACTACTGATGAGTCCCAGATCGGACGAAACAGCCGTCCATTGCTTTCTGCATTCTGTTGAGGATTATTCTAGGCTCGACGAATATGATTAGTCCAAAATAATCACTTGTATATCCTTGCTAAATCCGGCTAAGGCTCTGCGATGGAGCGGCTAAGGGTCAAAATGCAGTCGTGACTCTTCGGGCCACACTTCCGGGGTTATCTGAATACTTGGATGAGTATCGCTGCGGAACTGAGTGAGTAGCGGCGCTATATCGAGTCTAGTTTATGTCTTCTTCATCACCATTGTACAGTTGGTATGACATTTGCGTTGTATCAAAACGGCCCGGGTTCGATTCTCGGTTGTGGAAATGCACCGCTGATAAGTCCCGGATAGGGCGAAACGGCTGCCCATTGCATTCTGTTAAGGATTATTCTAGGCTCGACGAATTATTATATGATTAGCCTAAAGTCACGAAATAATCACTGATATATATATATATATATATATATATATATATATATATATATATATATATATATATATATATAATTGGACACTGACAGTCAGTTTCATGCTTAGGTCATGTTAGTAATTATTTCAAGTGTTTCTTTTAGCATTCATATACGCTCTATCTCCGTTATTGAGCATTTTACCCATAAATATGGCTATACCTTAAAACTATATTTTTTTATATACACAGGGTGCGATGAGTAAATTGTCGCCATTTTAATTTGGCGCATGCGCGTTGGTTTTTTTTTTTTTTTTTTGTCGACCGTACAGTATAATAGGCTCAGTTGTCAGGAAACTTCGATAGGAACATTCAGATTGGAAGGGTGTCAATCTGAGGGAGAGTGTAGAGAATTCGGAAAGAGTTGGATGATATATCCAGTCAACATCATGGTGTTTGGAGTGATCGCTAGTTATGGCCACGTTACGCCTCCATTCATCTTCTCACAGACTCAACACAGAGGTCTACATCAAATGCCTTGAGAAGGTGGTGATGATATTTTTGTGTAATTTTGGTAAATATATCGGTTAAAATGAGATGTCAGTTTTATTTTCATTTTTTCCATAATTTAGACGACAATTTATCAATCGCACTGTGTGTGTGTGTGTGTGTGTGTGTGTGTGTGTGTGTGGTTGTGTGTGTGTGTGTCTGATGGTAGAACAATTACGAATGAGTACTGAGTTCGATCCTCACTGGGTTCCCCTTATTTTCGGCCTTATGTCACATGCTATCTACGCTTGGAAAACCACTATATATATATATATATATATATATATATATATATATATATATACAGTGTAACCCGGATATAAGAGAGTTGTCGGGACCGGAGAAGAAGTCTCTTATATCCGGGTTTCTCTTATATCCGGGCTTGGTCTAATTTATATACATTAACACAGGCTCTAATTTGGGACCGAGAAAATCTCTCTTATATCGGGGTTACACACACACACACACATATATATATATATATATATATATATATATATATATATATATATATATATATATATATATATATACAGGAAGGAGTACTGAAATGCTCTCGACCCATATAAAAAGCCCTGCTCACACAAATTTTGGGAGGTGTGTCGATTTGCAAACATTCCAGCAAACATTTTCATTTCAATTTGTCACTCTTTTCTCTGTTTATATCAGCGTTTCTGCCATTCTCTCTTTTACTATCCTCCCAGTCCAAATTACAAACCGCAACTCGTGTGTCCGACACTTTTGAATCGCTGCGTTTGGATCGAGGAAAGGGCTCCTGCCCCTCTTTATAAATATTCAGGACCCACTGAAGTGTTTCGATAAGATTTTTTGAGTCTTTTTTTTTTATTCGCCTCGACTGAATATAATTATTGTGGTGAGTTTTTTGGTTTTTTTTCGGAATAAAGCTCCCTAAATGACAAAAGAAAGAGGAAAAAGAACGATAGGGAAATATGGGGCATTGTGAAAAAGAAAAAAAGAGGAACGAAGAGAATGCGTGATAAAGAAAGAAAAGTAATAATAATAATAATAATAATAGTAGTCGTAGAAGAAGAAGAAAGCCGAATCCGAGGAGTAAAAAAATAAGAAAACTTAGAAAGGAACAGACAAATAAAATGATGAAAGCGAGAGTAAAATAAAGAAGTGAGTCAGTGAAGACAAAAGAAAATGAAAGTAAAGATAGAAGCAGACGATAAATCCGAAAAAAAACTTAAAATTAAAACAGAAAAAAAAGTAAAAAAGAAAAGAAAATGATTTGAATAAATATCGAAAGAAAAAAGAAGGGAAAAGAAGACAGAAAATGATGCAGAAAAATAAATCCTGAAAAAAAATAAGCAAAGCAAAAAAAAAAAAAATACTGAAAATGAGTTAACAAAAAAGAAAAGGAGGGTTGTGAGAGAAAGAAAAAAAATAAGAATTACGAAACCAAAGAGGTGAAAAATAGAAAAAAATGTTGATGAAACTTAAAATACGTTGGATTTTAAAAATGAAAGAAAGAAAAGAAATATAGAAAGAAAGAGCAATGAATGCAAAAACTAGAAAAGACATGCTATGAATCCGGGGAAAAAAAAGGATTTGAAACGAAAAGAGAGAAAACCAAATAAATAAAAGAAGAATAAATAAGAATTAAGTTAGGATAAGAAGGAAAATAGAATGAAGAACAGAAGCAAGGAAATAAACGGAAATAGATACAAGGCGGAAGTGAATGAAAAATAATGACAATTGAAGTAAGGAATCCAAAAGAAGAAATTTGAACAAATTTAAAATTAAGGGGGAGAAAAGTAAAGAAAATAAATAGAAACTAAAAAAATAAAATGAAAAAACAAGATAGACCAAATAATAAAAGGAATAAAAGATAAATAGAATTTAGAAAATAAAAGAAAGAATAAATTAATTTACCTTAGAAAAATAATAAACCTAATGAAAACGACTAAAAAGAAAGAATGAATTTAGCAAATAGGAAGAAAAAGAAAGCGATTTAAACATAAATAAAACCAATCAAAAAGAGAAAGAATCTGCATCAAGAAAACAATAAACAAAGAAAGAACAATTGGTAAAAGAAAACAATAAAATTCACGAAATTAAGGAACCTCTCGTAGAATAAAAAAGACAGAACATAAATTTAATAAAAGAAAGAAAAAAGAAACGGAAAGAAAGAGAAAGAAAGAAAGAAAAAGAAAGAAAAATATGCATTAGAGAAACAATAAAAAGAACTAAAAAAACATATTAAAGTAAGAATAGAAGAAAAATCATAAAAAATCTCTTAGAAAAAAGAAAAAACTTAATTCACAAAAAAAAAAAAAGAAAGAGCTGCTCTTAGAAACAATAGAAAACACGAAAATGAACAAACTTATTTTAGAAAAAGAAAGAAATAACTTGATAGTGAAAAAAGAAAGAAAGAAAGAAAGAAAGAATATACGTTAGAAAAATAATAAACCCAGCTAAAAAAGAAAGAATGGATGAATATATTTTGGAAGAAACTATAAAAAAAAACAAAGAAAGAAAAAAAAAGAATGAATGAATGAATTTCGCAAATAGGAAGAAATAAAGAAAAAAGAACCGGATTTAGAAATAAATAAAGTAAAATTAAAGTAAAATCAATCAAAGAAAGAGAGAAAGAGTTTGCCTTAGGAAAAAAATAAAGAAATAATGAACAATTGCTAAAGAAAAACAATAAAAATCACAAAAAATAAAAAAACCTTCGTAGAATAAGAAAGAAAGAAAAAAATGTGTTAGAATAAAAATAAATTTGACTAAGAAAGAAAGAAAAACAAAAAAAAATAAATACGTTAGAGAAACAAAATAAAAACGAAAAAAGGAAATGAATTAAGTAAAAACGGAAGAAAAAAATCTTTCTAGAAGAAAAATGAAAGAACTTTAAAAAAAAAAAACAATAATAACAACCAAAGAAAGAAAAGAAAAGAACCATTCTGAAAGAAAACAATAAAAATTACGAAAAAGAAAGAAATTATCTTGGAAAAAGAAAGAAAGAAAGAATTATAGCCGGAGTTAATAACAAAAACAAAAAAGAAATAACCTCCGTTAAATAAAGAAAGAAACGAAGAAATAAGTAAATAAATAATTTAATGTTAGAGGAGTTCAATGTAAAACAATGCAGAGAAACAAGGCGTAGAAGATATTGGCATAACAAATAATAGGCAGAGAAAGAAATAATAACTCAGGATGCAAGAATGGGTTTAATTATCTCCCCTGATGGTAACCTCGTTTAAAAGGAGGTCGTTATCTAAATTACAATCTCACTTCTGCACTTCTTCCCTCATTTTTAAATAGATTTTCCATTGAATATATATTGCGATTTCTTTTCGCATGACAGCATTGCCGGAATTTTGAAATGTTGGGGCCAGGAAATGACCAACGGTCATTTGCACGACTTGACAGCATAAAATGCCAACGGATAAATTGGAACCAACAAATGGACGAATGGAAAATAAAAAAAAAAAGTTTGAAACAATAACGTTTTGTTTGCACTTAGAGTTCAAGTGACAATCAATCAAACATATATCTCCATGGTTAATGGTTTGGGCTAAAGACAACGAGTATTACTGGTCATGGACTTTCGCTATAATTGTAAATGATCGCGAATATTCTGCAACGATGGTCAAGTCAAAGAAGAATGCAATAACGAATGTTCAACGAATTTTTATCATAAAACCATTTACAGTGCATTTCTATAGTAAAATCGTTTGCAGTAATTTCTATAGTAAAATAATTCAAATGGATTTCTATAAAATAAATTATAAGGCATTACTATTCTAAATACGACGTCGCCGACAGAATCATTAATCTTTGGACAAACCAGAATTTGTTGAGACTTCGATCATGTGTTTTGCAGCCCAGGCTAGGGCTAAAAGAAAATGGAAAGACAGCAAGGGGAAGAAAATAAAATAACCTACATCTTCCTAGCGTCGGTAATTGTGAAGCTAGAATGAACATTTCTGTTATGGCATACTCCAAACAATTGGGGAATTTGACTTTCGAGATTTCAGAAATGATAAAAAGAAAATTACGACCTAAAAGGAAACTTGTTATAGCGGAAAGAACCAAATGTCTGTCCATTAAACAGAAACAAAATGAATCAATTATACAATATCTTCGCAGATTAAAAGAAGTTAGCAGATTCTGCGAATTTCAGAAACTGGGAACTCAAGATTTGACTATAGATTACGAATTGATTCAGTTAGAGTTAACTGAAGGTATGACTGATATCATACTTATTATAAAACTCAGGTTGCGTGTGTGTGTGTGTGTGTGTGTACGTTTATATATTGGATCGGATTTCCTACATTTTTCAACCGATTTCAACAAAACTTCACAGGACTACGTAAAATTACCTTGCGGTGGTTGTGACAGCGCCAAAAATTGGAAAAACACAATTGTTTTTGCACAAAATCAATTTGAAAACACATTTAAGAAGCATCGCGAGAATGAAAGGGGTACAACTCATATCGAGTTATACTTGTTATAAAACCCAGGTTGTGTGTGTGTGTGTGTGTGTGTGTGTGTGTGTGTGTTCATTTATATATGGAATCGGATGTCCTACATTTTTCAACCGATTTCAACAAAACTTCACTTTTTTTGGCAGGTAGTGTTTCTTATTGTCTTGCACACTTTTGTCTTTATTTTTACATTCAGAATGCTTTTAAAATTCCATTTACAAGACATTTGTTTATAATAAAATTCTATTCAATCGGTAGACTCATAACGATTGAAAACAATGTTTTTGTATGAGTTTGGGTTTGACCAATTCGTAAAAAAAAAAAAAAACTAATTAAGACATGCGTGTCCGTCAACCTTAAACAATAATCTTTGTCAATTTTATTTTTCAGTCTTTATGATGGTCGATACTTGATCTATCTCTTACTGTTACATCCCCGGGCAACGCCGGGCTCTACTGCTAGTATCTTATAAATATAAGATATGGAATAATTTTTCTCTAACTGCATGCGTGCAAATTATACATCAATTGGAATTGATTAAAAAGTATAATTCAAGTGAGTGCAATGTTGAAACCTACAGTATAAAAAACGGAATGCAAGAAATGCAAATACTTTAGGCATGAAATTGACAAAAAAAATAGTGTCCGGGTTTTGGAAAAATTTGCCATAACTGCAAAAGAAAAAATAATTTTCAGTCTACATGCAAAGTAAAAAAAAAAAAAGAAATAAAAATTGGAAAAAGAAAGAATTGATGACATCTTTTCAATACAAAGACGCAAGGAAAAGAATTCTTTTTAAAAAATTAAATTAAATTTCCCGACTTTTTCCATGCAAGTGGATATGAGTAATGAGGTCACTCTAATCGAAATAAATTTCTAGGAACAAATGAGTGAACTGAAATTGAGAAAAGGTCATCTGAAATTGAGACAATTGGATGGATCTTTTATAAGAGCTTTGGGCTACTTCAGTGGAACTTTTGAAATCTGTAACTGATTTGAAATTATTCTCATTACAGTAGTGGAATGTAAAAAAGTCATGGACTATTTGGGATAGATGTTCTAAAAGGTGGATATGTTGAAATTAGTCAATACGGTGAAATCAGAAAAAGCAAAAACGGTAGTGTTGAAGGGGTGTAAAGCGAGCATACATTTAAATGAAAATAGTACCTCCCTCTTATTATGAATCTCTTTAAGTTACCTATTCACTTTCTACCTTTAGTGGTTGTCAAATTAAAGAAAATGGTAGCGAAGGTAATTTTGAAGCACGTTCCTCTATGTGGCAAAATTGGGCCTCTCCCATTGTAGCGAAAATCATTAAAGAGACTTAAGAATATCTGTTGATTTTTAAATTAGGCGTAGATTATAAAATATGCTCGGATTCGTTTACTATTCCCAATATCGAAACCGCTATCTACAAATTATCGGCATGAATTTTTTTTTTTTTTTTTTTTGCAAAAATTGATTTAAAATCTGCCTATAAAGATTGGTGGTAAATTAAAAGAAATTATCACACTAAACACTGCCATATAATTATCAAGATGGACAAGAATTAATTTTGGAGTGAAAACTGCGTCATTTTTCAGAGAGCAATGGAGATCGTGTTAACTGACGAAATTACTAATATGATTATTTAGCAAGATGATATTTGTCTCGATGCCACCATTGAAGACGGATTAAAACAAAAAACAGAACATGCTTTAAACAAATTTCAAAAAAGGCTGGAATGACAATAAAGAGACAAATGTGAATTTGACTGTAGTACAATATCATATTTAGGGGGTCAGATTTCAAAAGATGGTATTACACCATTCAAAATTTTTCGATTGAATAAGCTCATGGCGAGTTCAACGATAATAAAATGTCCGTAGAAATTCCGTTATTGCATCTTTAATTATTTGAACTTAACAACTTTAACAAAATATTGCAATAACAATCATATTTTAAGAAGACTGAAAAGATTTTAAATTGACAATTTTTCCCATTTCACTGAAACAAACGTTAAACATTTATTTATATCATTCATTCATTCATTAAGTGGTGTCTTTTCACCTCTTTCCACACGATCAAAATGGAATAGTCCTTTATTTATGAGGTATTGGCAAGAGACGTTGGACGCTTCTATCTCCCCTTCTTTCTCTCTTTCATACACTCACTGAAACCCAGTAAGTATTTTCCCCTCTTCCAACGCGATCAAAACGGAATAGCTCATTATTATGACGTATTGGCAGGGCGTAATGGTCGTGTGAATTGAGGAAACGATGTATAAGCACAATTATAAAAGGATGATACAGATTGGCCCAAAACTCAGCAAGGGATTTAAAAATGGAAAAACTTCCTTATTTTTTAAAACTTTAATTCATCATAGGATAATATTATACATTAAGTAGATATGGGAAATAAATATACACCAACTGAGAAAGTCTGCATCTTTTAAGTGGTGTTCAGTTTCAGCTTTGCTCGAACGGGTCTTTTCTAATGCACTTTCCATCACAGCCCTCAGTGTTTTCAGGCTCTAGTGCTCTGCTTTCTGTCTGAATGTTGCCCTTCTTTTGTTGGAAAGTCTGATCTGATAGCGCCAAAGAAAGAAACCCGGATTTGTCAGATCCGTGGAATGTGGTCACCAGTTTATGCCGCAACTGCAAGAAATTATTCTTTTTTTCCAAAAATTTGTCCGAGAGGCTGGATTATGGCCCTTGCCGTTTGAGCTGCCATCTTGTTGTACGGAAACGGGTTAGATGCTCCTAAGAATTCCTTAGTGTGACGTTGAGAGATATCCAAAGATACCCGCCTTCGTGTTTATGTGTTTGGCTCTTCTACAATACTCTCTCTTACTCGCTCAAATACGCGTTCATTCCTAACCGAACGAGGTCTGCAAATTCGTCGAAGGTCACACTAAACCTTTATTCTGAAAACATGGAGAATCTCTCACATTAGAATGGCAACGATTCGCTGAGTGTTTGAATTACTGATTCTTGGTTTTGGTAAAAAGATTTTGCTACTTGTGTTCGTTTTTCAGTCTCCTTTATGAAATAACATTTTTTAAATCATTTCCCCCTAAGCAAGGCAATAAAGCCACCAAGATGCCCGGGGGTTACTGTATGTGAAATAATATGAGAAAAATAGATTATTAAGGAGCAAGAACAATTTTAGAACATAAATTAAGAAGACAGAAGATAACGATTAACATTGCGTTTTAATTTTTAAAGGTCAAAGTTGACTGGGAAGCAAGAAGCCAGAAGAGTGTTCCACAAGGGAGAGGTGCGATAGAAGAAATTGTTAGCATAGAACTTACTGTTACATCTCGTCATTTCAACTGTAAAAGGACGAAACGTTACCGCCATTCTAGTACTGTTCTTAAATTCATGAAGTCTAGGCACCAAAGAGGAAATTTCATCAGAACAATAACAATGACTATTTGTAGAAAAGACACAGGGAATCTACGTTGCGCCAGTGAAAAAAGAGGCTGAAGTTGC